GGAAGAAAAAACAAAGCCTAAAGTTAGTGGAGGGACATAGTAAAGATCAGAGTAGGAATAAATGATAGACTAAGGACACAATAGGAAAAATATCAGTGGACCTAAGAGTTGGTTCTTTGAAAAGATAAACAAAATTGACAAATCTTTAGACAGACTCATCAAGAAAAAATGGAGAGAGGACTCCAATAATCAAAATCAGAAATGATAGAAGAGGTTATAACCAACACTGCAGAAGTTCAAAGGATTATAAGAACATTCTGTGAAAAATCATATGCCAATAAATTGGGAAACCTAGAAGAAATGGATAAATTCTTAAAAACATACAATCTTCTGAGACTGAATTAGGATGAAATGAAAATCTGAACCAACCAATTGCTACTAATGAAATTGAATTGGTAATCAAAAAATTCCAAAGAAACAATAGTGCAGTACCAGATGGCTTCATGGGTGAATTCTTCCAAACATTTAGAGAAAAGTTAGTACCTATCCTTCTCAATCTATTCAAAAAAATTGAAGAGGAAGGAGTACTTCCAAACTCAATCTAGTAGGCCAGCAGCATTACCCTAGTACCAAAACCAGAGAAAGACACTACACCAAAAGAAGTTCACAGATCAATATCCCTGAAGAATAACAAATGCAAAAGTCCTCAACAAAATATTAGCAAACTGAATTCCAAAATATATCAAAAAGGATCATTCACCACATCCAAGTAGGATTTAGACCAGGAATGCAAGGATGGTTCAACATCTGCAAGTCAACCAACATGATGCATCACATCAACAAAAGGAAGGATAAAAATAAAAATAAAAATCACAATAGAAGCCAAAAAAGCATTTGACAATTTCAACATCCATTCATGATAAAAACTCTCAACAAAGTAGTTGTAGAGGGAACTTACTTTGACATAATAAAGGCCATAAAAGACATGATAAGCCCAAAGCTCACATTGCACTCAATGGTGAAAAGCTGAAAGCTTTTCTTCTAAGATCAGGAACAAGACAAGGATGCCCACTCTCACCTCTTTTATTCAACATAGTACTGGAAGTGCTAGCCATGGCAACCAGAGAAGGAAAATAAATGAGCAACATACAATTAGGTAAGAAAGAAGTAAAACTGTCACCATTTGCAGGTGACATGATAATGTATATATAACCCTAAAGACTCCAAAAAAACTATTAGAACACATAAATAAATTCTGTAAAGTCACAGGATATAAAAGAAATATACAGAAATCTGATGCATTTCTGTTTTGTTTTTTTTTTTTAGTGGGCATCTCTCATATTTATTGATCAAATGGTTGTTAACAACAATAAAATTCTGTATAGGGGAGTCAATGCTCAATGCACAATCATTAATCCACCCCAAGCCTAATAATTCTCATCAGTCTCCAATCTTCTGAAGCATAACGAACAAGTTCTTACATGGTGAACGAATTCTTACATAGTGAATAAGTTCTTACATGGTAAACAGTACAAGGGCAGTCATCGCAGAAACTTTCGTTTTGATCACGCATTATGAACTATAAACAATCAGGTCAAATATGAATATTCATTTGATTTTTTTACTTGATATATATGTGGATCCCACATTTCTTCCTCTATTATTATTATTATTATTATTATTATTATTTTTAATAAAATGCCGAAGTGGTAGGTAGATGCAAGACAAAGGTAGAAAACATAGTTTAGTGTTGAAAGAGAGCAAATATAGATGATCAGGTGTGTGCCTGTAGACTATGTGTTAATCCAAGCTAGACAAGGGCAATAAAACATCCACGGATGCAGAAGATTTCTCTCAAAACAGGGGCGGTGAGGTTCTAAGCCTCACCTCTGTTGATCCCCAATTTCTCACCTGATGGCCCCCCTGCAACTGTGCCTGTCTTAGGTTGTTCCTCCCTTGAGGAATCTTACCCGTCTCTGGCTAACCAGTCATCTTCCAGGGCCATACAGGGAAATGTAAAGTTGTAAGTGAGAGAGAAGCCTTATTGTTTGAAAAGGTTAGCTTTTTACTTCTTTGCATATTTATGCCCTGTGGCTTCTATGCCCAGCATTTGTCTTGAGGTATCTTTACCACTTGGAGGAATTATGTTACTCGGTAAATTAGATATGAGGCACGAATTCTATTTAAGGGTTGTAATTAGGAAGGAAGAAGAAAAGCTATAGAAGTAGCAGGTGGAAGAAAACATGGGAAGATTATTTCTTTGACATATTTTCTTGTAGAGTAACTTAAGCATGTATAGGTTTTAAACTACTAATTAAATTGCACACACACGTTAACATAATAGGAATACAGTTACATAACCAAAGCAGATCTATAATTACCAGCCATCTCCAGTGAAACCAAGAAAACCAGTTAGGCATCCTAGGCATTTGTGAAAATTTATCTATGTTATGATGGATATTGTCCAACTGTATTTGAACAGTCTGAAAGAAATCAGACAAATTAAAACAACCCATTCCTGGGAACTGTTCACATCCCATATGTTCTTTTAACAGTAGATAGTCTGTAGTTGTAAGATTTTGGAGCACTACAACTTGCTGTTGCATTTCTTTATGCACATAATGAACTAGCAGAAAGAGAAGTCAGGAAGACAATCCCATTTACTATTGTATCAGAAAGAACAAAATACCTATGGATAACCCTGTCCACACAGGTGAAAGACCCATACTCGGAAAACAATAAAACTTTGGTGAAAGAAATTGAAGAAGACACAAATAAATGGCAAGATATTCCATGCTCATAGACAGGAAGAATTAATATTGTTTAAATGGCCATACTAGCCAAAGCAATCACAGATTCAATGCATTCCCTATCAAAATACCAATCACATTTTTCACTGAACTAGAGCAAATGATCCTAAACTGTGTTTGGAATCACTAAAAGCCCTGAACATCCAAAGCAATCTTGAGAAAGAAGAACAAATCTGGGGGTATCACAGTTTCTGACTTTGAACTATACTACAAAGCTACAGTGATCAAAATGGTATTGTACTGTCACAGGAATAGAAACATAGAACACTGGAACAGAATGGAGCCCATGTTTATATGGTCAACTAATATATGACAAAGGAGGAAAGAATATACAATGGGAAAAGGTCAGTCTTCAGTAAATGGTGTTGGGATAACTGGACAGCTACATGTAAAAGAATGGAACTGGATCACTGTCTTACACCATACACAAAAATAACTTGAAATCAATTAAAGACTTATGTAAAATCTGAAATCATAAATTTCCTAAAAGAAAACATAGGCAGTAAGTTCCTGGATGTCAGCCTTAGCAAATTTTTCTGGATACATCTCCCCAGGCAAGAGAAACCAAAGCAAAATTAAACAAGTGGTACTACTTCAAAGTAAAAAGCTTTAGCTCAGTGAAAAAAACCATCAACAAAATGAAAAGGCAACCTACTCTTATGGGACAGTATATTTTCAAATGATATATCTGATAAGGGGCTATTATCCAAAATATATAAAGAACTCACACAACTCAACAATGTAAAATCAAATAATCCTAAGAAAAATGGACAGAAGCCCTGAATAGGCATTTTCCAAAGAAGACATATGGATGGCCAATAGACACATGAATAGGTACTCAATATCACTAATCACAGGGAAATGCAAATCAAAACAACAAGATATCACCTCACACCAGAGTGGGTATAATCAAGAAAAGGAATAACATGTGTTTGTGAAGTTGTGGAGAAAAGGGATCCCTCACGTTCTGCTGGTGAGATTGCCAATTGGTTCAGTCACTATGGAAAGCAGTATGGAATTTTTTCTAAAAAATATAAAAATAGAAATACCATATAGCCTAACAATTCCACTTCTGGGAATTTACCTGAGGAAAACAAAGTCATTAATTCAATAAGGTATATGTATTCCTGTGTTTATTGTAGCATTATTTACAACAGCCAAAATATGGAAACGACCTGAATGTCCATTAATTAATTAATTACTAAAGAAGAGGTGGTATATATATATATACACAATGGAATATTACTCAGCCATGAAAATGAAATCTTTCCATTTGTGACAGCATGGATGTACCTAGAGGATATTATGCTAAGTGAAATAAGTAAGAGAAAGAGAAATGCCATGTTATTTCAGTTACATGTGGAATCTAAAAAAGAAAGAAACAAAGAAATAAAACATAGTACACTCATAGTCATAGGAAACAGACTGGTTGTTGCCATATGGGGCAGTGAAAAGGTGGAGGAAAAGTTAGTGAAAATATTTGATACCTTGATCTCAGTGATGGATACACGAGTGTATTCACATATCAAAATGTTTCAAGCTGTACTTTAAGATTTGAGCATTTTATTGTATAGTCCTCAAAAAAATAAAGTACACATAACACCTTAAAGAACCTCTAAAATTATATGTAAAAAAAAAAAGGAAAAAATTACACATAGGAGGTCTTTACCGAAGACCTACTGAGTAAGAATCTTTGTGGCAGCACTTAGCTTGGTATCTTGAAAAAATGTCCCAGAATATCTTTATAGGCATCCATAAGTCAAATACTGTAGAAACTCTTTCTTCTCTGGAGATAGGATGCCAATACTTTTTTTTTTTCTGGAGCAGAGACAATCTAGGCCAATTGTTTCTGACCCTCATTTTTTGGAATTTGTTTGAGCCTGATGAAGCTATTGATTAGTTTCTATACTATTCTAGAAGAGAATTGAAAGGTGGAAACTTTGCCAAGAAAAAGTATGCTTACATAAATAATTAGCTATGTGATTTGAAGGAAGTTCACAATACCCTTGAAATTTACCCATGGGGCTCTTGCTCTAGGATTTTATGTTTTAAGAGGGGCTCCAGTGATGTTTAAAAGATACATGGTATCTTTCTAATAGACAAGAACCCCAAAACTGGCCTTCACTGAAGCCAGAAAGTATATGAGGCTCTGTGAGGGAAGTTAGAACATTCCTGATTTAGATGATAAAATTGGGAATAACTAGTGTAGGACTGGAAGAAGCACAAAAACTGGATCTTTCAGCTACTCACCTGTCTAGAATCTGCACACTAGCCTGCTCCACTCTGTTCAGGATGTTCATAGGTGACTTGTTTTTGTTCCAGGATGCACCCCAGCTTAGGTCATGGGCCAGATCATTGCCGGTTCCAAGTGGGATGATTGCCAGCTGACACTGCAAGACACAAAATCAGGCACCCTTTTCAGACAATCCTACTAAGATGTACCCATGGAAGAACACATAAGTTGCTTTTTTGGAATGGTTGTGGTCTCAAAGCCAGTGGCATTAGAGACTTTTGATTCTAGGAATTATAACCCTTAGGAGTTGGGCCCCATTCTTGGAAATTCATAACTTACTAAGCAAAGGGAAAAGTTGCTAGAATATGCCAATATTTATAGCCATGCTCTTGAAAGAGAAATACAGCCACAGATTTGTATCATGTCTGGGCCAAGGAGGTAAGGTGTCTCAAGGGACAAAGGTACTGGGGTAAGAAGAGTAGGGGGTGGCTAAGAGAGAGAGGGGAGAAGTAGAGAAGGTTCTGTTACTCTTGAGACTTAGGGAAGAAAATCAGTGGCCTCTGGAGGGGAAGGAAATTGGAGTCTGAATGCTGCCTTAGGCCATATCTTCTTCTTTTTTTTTTTTTATTTTGCTTTTCTCCCCTTCAAATCTTCACTTTGCAGCCTGGGGAATAGAGCACTGATCACTTTTTCTGTAAACTCCATCATTTCTCCTTATCACCGATAGACTACCAGAAAATGGTCTAGGTGAGCAGGCTTAGATAGGGGAGCTATCAGTCAGGTTGACTATGAAATTAGTGAGAATTGTGTTTTATAGACAAAGACAGTAAAAACAAGGGACTCTTGGAATGAGCAGCTGCACACCCCTCCAAGTCTCTCTAGCAATGGATAAACTGAGTCAGTTAAAGACTTACCCTTTCATGTAATCCAAAGACATCAATCAGAGATAAGGCCCAGCTCACACTGCCATGTCCACCACAAACCACAATGCGAAAGCAAGCAAAGTTCTTGAACATGCACAGCCTGGAAGAAGAGGGGGAAAAGGAATCAATTCATGAATTTCTGGGTTTTCCAGCTCCTTGTTACAATGTGCTAGGAGATAAGGACTGTTGCTCCTTGCTTTTCTTTCACTTACCCCATCTCTCTGTGTACCTAACATCATAGGCAACGTTCCTACAATTCTGGAGATCAGGCTTTACCTCAAACCATACTCTTCTGTGCCCAACCTTGCTCTGGAAGCTACTAGTAAACTAGCTGAACTCATTTTCTGAGGCCAATGGGCTCACAGAAAACAGGGTTGAATAGCCAGAAAAACAGGCCTATAGTAGAGATATATCTATTTGGCCCCAAGAAAAAGAGAGTGGGTGATAGGAAATGTGGATTGTAAGATCAATTTGCCTCCTACTCTGAAGTCAGGAGACATAGTTATACCTCTTCCAACCATAAAAGGTGGAACAAATCTGAGAGCAGGACATGAGCTTGAAAGGATTTGTAGGAGAGGGCTAAAATTTCTATAACCAGTTAACCCCAAATGCTCTGGAGTTATAAGTTTGTATCCAGACTTGAGAAAATAAATCTTACCAGCCAGTTATTAGAAGCAATTCCAGGAAGCCTATGCTAATCTAGAATGTACAGAGGCAGGAGTCCCTTCTATATATCCAATTATCCCTTACCTGATGCTTACCCTGATTCAGGTCCACCCTTGGATAAGTCAAAGACTTGGAATGGGTTAAGGTATTGCTTAAATTTTCGGAGAAAGACGATCCCTTGGTGATCGCCACTTTTAGAGTTGATGAAGATGAGAAGGGGACATGAACAGGCTGATGACCAATCGAGACTCCAGAAGTCTGAAGATACTACTAATTGACCTGACACATGAGCAAAAAAAAAAAAAAAAAAGGCAAAAAAGGAACAGAGTCTTTGAGATTGGAAACAAGACATGACTTAACATCAAATTTTGCACAGACTTAAAAACAGTTTTATTTAGGTCTAATTGATATCCAAAGAGTTGCATATATTTAATATGTGCAACTTAATGAGTTTAGATATATGCAAACATCCATGATACCATCACCACAGACAAGGTAATACACACATCTAACACCTCCCAGAGTTTCCTTGTGAGCCAGTCTCCTGAGACTGATGAGCAGATAGGAAGTCAGGACACAACCCAAAGGGGCATTTATTATAAGTCTGTCCAGCTTTTGCCAGGAAAATGACATTTTCTGAGCAACTACTACATGTCAATCTCATGCTAGATACTGCTAGGGGCATAGTCCCTCCTGTCCTCCAACTGGGGAAACAGACTCATACATAAGAGTATGTTGGAATACAAGGAATAAGGAAATTGGTGCCACAACTGAGGATTAATAAAATGTTGTGGGGAAACTGAGGAAGGAGTGGGTTGAGAGCCAAGGAGGAGGGTGAGCACACCAATTAGTCCTCTGTCTGAGATAGCTTAGATTGTACAGTGAGAAGATACCAGGTCAGGAAAGACAGGGAGGAAAGGTTGCCTTTTACCTAAGAGCAAAAGACAGACCATATCAATGTGGAATGAAGCAGGGAGCTTTAATAACCCCTCTAAGGCTCTGGAAGAGCAATCCAAGTTATCATACCAACTTTCAGGGGAAACAAGACTATAGGGAAATTGAACAAGAGACAGGCTTTTAATAATCCCCAACACTGAAGTTCTGCATAGAGAAGTAGAGTTATAGCAGTCTAAATTGCCAAAGCCTGCCAGCTCATGCTGAGTTTTAGAGCCTGTTGGCAGGAAGATAGGCAGTGAGCAATGGCTCCCTAGGAGATGCTAGATAAATTGTGAGCCCCCAAACCTCTGAGCTTGTGGCTTGCCAGGGATACTCCAACAAAAGTAAAAGTAAAGGGCAAATGACATGTGGCTTACTCTTGAATGGTGCAGAGTAAGGGGAGATGAGTTGAGATGTCCCATTTACAGTAACCTGGGTGAAAGGGAGCCTAAAAGAATACTGCTGACTTGAACAGATTTCATGGCTGTTTTTCTTGGAAAAATCTAAGGAAGGCTTCCTCTATGGGCCAATTCCTACTCACTGGGCAGTAGAGCTTGAAGTCATCCTAAGTCAACTAGCTAGTCATGTAGCAAATTTTCAGGGCTTGCCACAACTCACAGATACAAGAAGATCCTATTATTTTCCTTATAAGTAATTACTCTCCCTGAACACATTATCCAAAAGTAGTACCCTATTCAATACTTTTAAACAAAACGTATATATTGACACAATGCTAATTAACACACATTAATTCATCCATTCACCAAATATGTACTGAGTGTGTTCTCTGTGTCTGTTATATTCTGGGAATACAGTGGTGGACAAGATAGAAACAGTCTGCTCTTGTGGAACTTATATTCTAATGGTAGGAGAGAGACTCTAATGAACATATATAGAAACTAATGTGATATGAAAGAAAAGAAATCATGGAAAGGGGATGGAGACTGAAGGGGGTGTTATTTTAGACAGGGTGGTCAGCGACAGCTTCTCTGGGGCAGTGACATTTAAGATAAGACTTAAATGAAGTGAGGAAGTGTGTAATGCAGATCGGGGGGAAGAGTTTTTTGAGGCAGGAGGAAGAATAAGCACTAGGACCCAGAGAAGGGAGACTGGGGTGTCTTAGGACCAGTAAAGAGAATAGCTGGCTGTTGTAGAGTAAGGATCAGAGAGGCAGAAGATGAGATTAGAGGGGTGACAGGGACCAGATAAAATGATAAGATGTTAGAAGAAGCAGTTCAAAAATAAAGGTGAGAGTGTTTAGTATGGAATTGAAGCATTATGGGTTGGGTCATAAGATATTTGAAGAAAATAATCAAAAGGTGGTACATTTTTATGTGCTTGTTCCCCAACCAATCAGAAATGCAGGCCCCAACTAACAGCCTGGCCCCAGTCTTACCTCTCTTTGTTTTATAACCTAATTCTGCTCTGTCCCTCCTTCCCTTACTCAGAAACTACCTGCTAACACCCTCTAAGTGATCATGTGACTTTGGGTATGTATCCTAATTAAAGGATTCTTGGGAATAGCTTCCTGCCAACATCCAGTGGAACTGAGAGGTAAGTTTAAATCAAGGATTATCTATGTCCGCAGTGTTTTTTAACAGAGTCAAAGGCCTTTCGGGTTAATCCCTTTCCAAGGTGAGGTAGCAGTGGGAGTGAGACCAACTACTGTTAACTTTTTGGGTCTCAGTTTCCTTATATGCAAAGTGGGCTGTTCAAAAAACTAACTTGTTCCCCCTTTTTCAATGAAAATAAGCTGGGTGTTACATTGATGAGAAAAGAAAATATAAATTGTCTCTTAAATGTGAAATGATGAGCAAATTCACTCATGATAAGAAAGATTTTAATTAAAACTAGTCCATGGTGCCATTTTGTTCTTGTATAAAAGATGAGCAAGAAAAGATAACATACTTGACTGAGGAGGCCATGGGGAAATATTTACTCTCATGCATTGAGGATGGAAGTACAAAGTGACACAAATCCTGTAGAGAGGGCAATTTGACAGAATTTATGAAAATTACAAAGTCATATTCATTTTAGGGGCAGAGCCAAGATGGCAGCATAAGTAGGACAGTGGGAATCTCCTCCCAAAAACATATATATTTTTGAAAATACAAAAAATACAACTATCCCTAAAAGAGAGACCAGAAGACACAGGACAACAGCCAGACTACATCCACACCTGCGAGAACCCAGCGCCTGGTGAAAGGGGTAAGATACAAGCCGCAGACCAGTGGGACCCGAGTGCTGCTCACCCCAGCTCCCAGTGGGAGGAGAGGAGCCAGAGTGGGGAGGGAGAGGGAGCCCAGGACTGCTAAACACACAGCCTCAGCCATCCACCCCAGAGTGCAGACACATAGTGCATGAGTGGGGTGCTGGAAACTAGAGAAACAGGACAGTAAGACCTATGAACGAGTCTCCACAGCCGGAACCCAGGACAAAGAAAAGCAAGTGCTTTTTGAAAGTCTTAAATGGACAGGGACCCCACAACTGGACGGAAGCATCCTAGGTCACAGTCCAGCAGCTGGAAATCCCAGGGAACTCCGGGTGCACTAACACCCTGGACAACAGCTCTGAGAACCCTCATGGTGGTAAACAGCCAAACAGCCCCCCGTCCATTACCCCTCTGGGGCTCCACAATAGCAGAGCAGCAGCCTGAGGCAGGCCATGCCCACAGCAAGGGAGCTTCCTCCATACCGGCCAGGCAAGATACAGAGACCCAGTCTACACACAATTGCCCAACACAAGGAACTAGGAGTCGCAGTTGTCTCAGTAAAGAAAGGCCAGGAGCAAGTGGAAAGAGTATTGGCTCTCAAGGCTGACAGACGAGTCAATAGCATATCCCAGACAAGAATAACCCAAACATCTTTGACATCTTCTACATCTTCCCCTGAGAAGGAACCTGGGGAGATAGACTTAACAAATATTCCTGAAAAAGAATTCAAAACAAAAGTCATAACCGTGCTGATGGACTTGCAGAGAAATATGCAAGAACTAAGGAGGGAGAATACAGAAATAAAACAATCTCTGGAAGGACTTCAAAGCAGAATAGATGAGATACAAGAAACAATTAATGTACTAGAAAACAGAAAACAGAAACGCAGAGAAGCTGATGCAGAGAGAGATATAAGGATCTCCAGGAATGAAAGAATATTAAGAGAACTGTATGACCAATCCAAACAGACCAATATTCGCATTACAGGGGGTACCACAACAAGAAGAGAGAGGAAACGGGATAGAATGTGTATTTGAAGAAATAATTGCTGAAAACTTCCCCAAACTGGGGGAGGAAATAATCATTCAGACCACAGAACTCCCAACAGAAGGGACCCACAGAGGACAACACCAAGACACATAATAATTAAAACAGCAAAGATCAAGGACAAGGACAGAGTTTTAAAGGCAGCTAGAGAGAGGAAAAAGGTCACCTACAAAGGAAAACCCATCAGGCTATCATCAGACTTCTCAACAGAAGCCTTACAGACCAGAAGAGAATGGCATGATATACTTAATGCAATGAAACAGAAGTATCTTGAACCAAGGATACCGTATCCAGCATGATTATCATTTAAATATGAAGGAGGGATTAAACAATTCCCAGACAAGCAAAAGTTGAGGGAATTAGCTTCCCACAAACCACCTCTACAGGGCATCTTACAGGGACTGCTCTAGAAGGGAGCACTCCTAAGAAGAGCACAGGCCAAAACACCCAACATATGAAGAATGGAGGAGGAGGAATAAGAAGGGAGAGAAATAAAGCATCATCACAGCGTGTTTTTAATAGCTCAATAAGCGAGTTAAGTTAGACAGTAAGATAGTAAAGAAGTTAACCTTGAAGCTTTGGTAACCACAAACTTAAAGCCTGCAATGGCAATAAGTACATACCTTTCAATAATCACCCTAAATGTAAATGGACTGAATGCACCAATCAAAAGACACAGAGTAATAGAATGGATAAAAAAGCAAGAGCCATCCATATGTTGCTTACAAGAGATTCACCTCAAACCCAAAGAAATTGACAGACTAAAAGTCAAGGGATGGAAAAAGATATTTCATGCAAACAACAGAGAGAAAAAAGGAGGTGTTGCAATACCAGTATCAGACAAAATAGACTTCAAAACAAAGAAAGTAACAAGAGATAAAGAAGGACATTACATAATAAAGGGCTCAGTCCAACAAGAGGATATAACCATTTTAAATACATATGCACCCAATACAGGAGCACCAACATATGCTAAACAAATATTAACAGAATTAAAGGAGGAAATTGAATGCAATGCATTCATTTTGGGAGACTTCAACACACCACTCACTCAAAAGGACAGATCCACCAGACAGAAAATAAG